GGTGCACTAAATCAGTTGGACTCATGTCCAAAGGGCTGAGTGTTTAACAAAGGAAGGGCTCCAGTTTTTACACATTTTGTCAATGGGATTGGTGCAAAATGAGACAAAGGCAATTATTTACTCAGTGGCAGTTTAACAGCTTAGCCTTGAAAGAACACAGATATAGGGAATTCCAGGATGTTATAAGACCTTGTTTATAGGAACAGGTTTTTGACCTTATCAATACCTTTTGAGAGAAAACAGACTCCACAATGTCACAGGACTGTTTGCAAGAATCTTGCTATTTATTTTATCTGTAGGACAGCAGAGGTCAGTAGTTATGGGGAGGAAGAATCGGAGAGGGAAACTGCATGAAACTGTAAGAAATTGCTTAAGGCTCAGGGAGAAAAATTTGATTTTCTCTAAGTTCTGCTTTATTCCCCCCTTTGATGCTCTCTGCAAACAAGCTTCAATAGAAGGCTTCAACAGAGAATAGAGTTTCAATAGAGAACTTCCCATGACCTTTAACAAATGTAACTGTTTGCTACTTACTACTAGTTGTGCACTTGTCAACTGTTTCCTCCTTGAACACAAATCCTAGACTATTATTGGCCCATTCTACTGTAACAGGTTCAGTTCCCAATACCACAAAATAACAACAAAAAACCCCACACCTTAATTTTCTTTATTTCCAATTATAGAAAAGGATAATAGCAAATTCTATAAGAGAGCATAAGTGGGTCTGGGGATATAGCTTAGTGACAGAGTGCTTGCTGATGAGCATGTGTGAGGCTCTGGCTTCCATCCCTAGAACTGCAAAAATGAAGAAAAAAAGTATTCTGGTGGTCTGAACTAAAGAGGTTAGTTTCATAGCGAGAAAAAAAGTTGAATAAAGTAGAAATAGAAACCAATTAGCTGGTCATTTCAAGACTATTTCTTTGCAAGGTGGGACAGAATGCTAGAGCAGAGCTGGGGATGGTGGTGGACCCCTGTAATCCCAGCACTCAAGAGGCTGAGGCAGGAGAATCACTTTGAATTCAAGGCCAGCCTGGGCTACATAGCAAGACTGTGTCTCAAAAAAAACAAAAATAAAAAACAGAGGGTAGAACACCAGAAAAATAACTGGTTAATGTCAGGTTAATTCGGGTCACTTTTTTGCAAGGATTAAAGCAAAGAGAACTTAATTGTCATGGCAGTTGAAAGGGGCCTGTTTGGGAATTTGGCTGTTATTTCCTCCTTTCTTTATTCTGATTAAGGCCAGGTAACACCATAGTTTCAGTTTGGTGTCATGGAACTCCATGGTGACTCCATTTTAGTCCAGTGTATTGGGGCTTACTATAGTAGCTGAGTCCAAAGTAATGGCTTCCTATAAGCTTTAAACAATTTATCACCCCAAATTGATACAACTAATACCCACTCTGCCCCCACTACTTTTGTTTTGTTTTGTTTGGTACCGGGGATGGAACTCGGGACCATGCACTTGTGGGACAGGCGCCGGAACCACTGAGCTAAATCCCTGGCCTGCCCCCACTACTGTTCCTACTGCCGTCTATGTACTTGGATTACCACAACAAGTCTTCCCCATTCTCCCTGCCTCCTCTCAAGTTCTTCTAATTTTTCCTTTACAGAGGCTCTAGGCTAAACTGAGGGTACATTTATTAAGAAATGTTTATGAAAAATCATGGCTCTTTCCAGCTCAAAACTTTGCATGGCTCTTTATGAAGTGGCCCTCAGTTAAATATTTGTGTTATATTCGGAAAGCATTTACAACTGAGCAGGAACAGACCAATGGTGGAGTTTCTGGTGTCTCAGAGATCATTTAGGGGTAGAGAGGGAAGCAGGAAGTCCTTGTTTGCCCCAGCCTCCTAGAATGACAATCTAAGGGCCACCAGGGACAGATGGGAGGGGCACCCTGGCAGCTGGGGCTGAAACAAGGCTTTGTTCCCAAGTCCACAACGGCAGAATGCCCAGCATAGCCCCAGCTCCCCTGGCTCCCTCCAGGGCAGGGTAAGAGGGGAGGCTGGACATCCACCCTGCTCTGTGCAGGCAGAAGCATGCCCTGATGGTGGAAGGTAGACAGGGTAGGGGACATAAGATAGGAGCCTTGGGGACACTGATTGAGTGCCTACCATGTTTGGGGCATTATTGCCAATTCAGCCCATTACAGATTCCTGCAGCTGGATGTGATTAGGTTGTGTTGCTACCCCGATTAATACACAGAGGGAAGGGCCCTTGTCCTTGACCACACAGATCAGTGTGCCAGAGCAAGGATTTCCACACAGGTCTGATTCCAGAGCTACTGTTTTGGGCTGGTACTATACCTGCCCCCTCCACAATTTCACTTTTCACAGTTTGTGTTACCCAGAGTCAACTGGAGTCTGAAAATGTTAAAGGGAAATTTCCAAAAATAAATAATTCATAAATTTTAGATGGTGTGCCACTCTGACTAGCATGATGAAATCTCACAGACTGTCCTGCTTCTCCCCACCCTGGAGGTGAATCATCCCTTTATCCAGTATATCCTTACCACACCCAATATGTGCTCATTATTCTTCACTTAGTAGGTGTTTTGGTTATCAAGTCATCACACTCACTGTGGTATCACAGTTCTCCTATTCAAGTAATCTTTGTTTCACTTAGTGAAACAAGGGCCCCACACACCTCTAATCCCAGCACTCCCTGTAATCCCAGCACTTGGGAGGCTGAAGCAGGAAGATAGGATCACCTTGAGTTTGAGGCCACCCTGGGCTACATACTGAGCTCAAGGCCAGCCTGAAGTACTTGAACTATATAGTCTCAAAACAAAAACAAACAAACAAAAAAAGAAAGCAAAGAAACCCAAAGTGCAAGAGCAGTGATGCTGGCAATTTGGATATACAAAAGAGAAGCTGTAAGGTGCTTCCTTTACATGACAAAGTGAAAGTTCTAGATTTAATAAGGAAAGAAAAAAAATCTTGTGCTGAGGTTGCTAAGATCTACAATAAGGATGAATCTTCTGTGAAATTGCGAAGAAGGAAAAAGAAATCCTTGTTAGTTTTGCTGTTACACTTCAAACAGCTAAGAGAGCAAAGGCATTAAATCTGTGTTATGTGTGAGAAGAAAAACATCGAGTACCACCTGCCTTGCAAGCACAAGGTCCCACGTTCAATCCCCGGTACCAAAAAAAAAAAAATATAGAGAGTATATAGAGTTTAGTACTATCTGCGAGCTCAGGCATCTACAGGGGTCTTGGATAAGGAGGACCACTGTGTTGTGTTCCACCTGCTCCCTGCCACACACTGTGCCCGTACTTGCTATGACAATTAGCCCCCACAAATGAGGAGGGGTTCCGAGTCACTGAGGAGGCTCTGGGCAACCAAAGCTAGCTATCCTTCTGTTTTGTCTGGTCAAGTCTGAGAGTGCAATCCAGAGGTGCTCAAACTGCACAGGGACTGGGCTGGGCCTGTGGTATCTCTGAGTCACAGGGAGGGTGGTTGGTGGCTGACTCAACACAACCAGGTCCACTTCCCCTCCTGCAAGGCCAGCTGGAGGAGTCTGGGACCAGGAAACTGGCTGGTACAAGGGTTATTTATAGATTCTTGTTACATGAAGGAATGAGGGACTTCTCTGAATCCCAGTCCTCCTACATCCCAGCCCCAGCCTGGTCTAGCTCCCCATCCTCAGGCCAAAGGGGCACCATTCTCAGGGAGAACTTCAGAAAGGGGGAAGCAGCTACCTATGATAGAAATAGAACCAGCTAGCACTGTCATCTCCTTCCTCATCTGATACTGACCACTAGCTCTTCATTCAAATCTTCCCCTTGGGAATTATCAGACACATTTGGAAACTGAGGCCGAGAGGGGAGGCGCACAGTGAGGTACGTGGGCAGAGCTCTTAGGTCCCAGGTCTCCACACTCCAGTCTGGGTCCTTATTTTTCTTTCTTTCTTTTTTGGTACTGGGGATCACACTTGGGACATTGCACTTTTGAGGCAGGGGGCGGAACCACTGAGCTAAATCCCTGGCCCATGGGTCCTTATCTTTAACAGGTGACCTCTGGGAAGGGTTAATAGATAGGAGGCGTTAAGTGCATAGAGCCAAGGAAAAGCTGAGAGGTGATGTGACAAAGTTGCGGGGGAGCGGTTCCCATCAGTGAGGCACCTGGAGTGGGGCAGATTCCTGCTCTAGATTATCTGCATGGGAGCCCTGTTGCCTGCAAGACCCTTGGGCTGACCGGAGGATTTCCTGCTGCATGCTCCCTCCTCTGTGAAGCCACCTAGACTCCTTACCCTGTGCACCCACAGCTTGGGTATGGCCTCTTGTCAACACCTTTTCTCTTTAGGCCCTCTTTAAAAAAGAACAGCATGGGGGCCTGGGATTTAGCTCAGTGGTTTCACTGCCTGCTGCGCAAGTGAAAGGACCCGTGAGTTCGATACCCTATCAAAAAAAAAAAACAAAACAGCATGGGGCCAGGGATTTAGCTCAGTGGTTCTGCTGCCTGCCTCAAAACAGCAAGGTCCCTAGTTCAAGCACGGTACCAAAAATAAACAAAAGGACAGCATGTTTACGTTTTCCCCCCTGAGAAAGGGGTAGGCAGGAGAACAAAGGATGTGCAGGAAGAGGGCCCCAGAAAGAAGGAACAGAATGCAAAGACTCCAGTAGATGCCCCCAGTGTTGTCATGAGACTGGAAGCTGAAACCCAAGGGGAAAAGTGAGACAGGATTCTAGCAAGGTTACAGGACCAGATTCTGAGGGCCTTGTGGTCTAGAGTGGCAAGTTTTGACAGAGCAGTGTGGAACCACAGGGCATGTATGTTTTAGAAAGATCTCTCTGCATGGAAGATGCAGGAGACAAGTCAGGGCACAGCAAGGAGGGACCCACGGCTATCATCCAAACGATGCACAACGGCAGCGTGGAAAGTGGAGGGATGATAGACAATGGCTAGGCTGGGGACCTGGACAGACCGTGGCAGGTCCTAGTGCCTGCTGGGTAACCATCATTCTCCCTGTTTTTTCAACCATACCCCTAAGGAATGACACAGGTGTCCAAGCAAAAATAGTTTATTTAAGGACGGAAGACCCAAAACTGGGGGGCCTGGGAGTGAGGCCACAGCAGCTGCCTAGAGTTGGCACAGACTATCCCAACTGCCTGGAAGAAGCCCTTTCTCCGCTGCCCTCCCTGCTGGAGGAAGGATTGTGCAACTGTCAAGAATTATCACCATCATTATCATCATAACACGCTGAAGTCGTCAAAGTTTGCCCAGCAAATTTTGGCATAGCAGTTATTAATGAAAACAACTACTCCGACAAGCACAGTGACTGTGCCTGGTTTGGACCCACCATCCAGTGGTGGGTGGGGTCTGTGACAAGGTGAGACAGGCAGGGAGGGAGGCAGGTCTCTCTGGGAGACCCTGTTCCAGCCTCCCAAGCAGACCTACCAAACGGTGCCCATCTCTCTTGGCCCCAGTAGCAGGTGCCTGCTCTCCATTGTTCCCACAGCCATTGGCCATGGTTAGACTCAGGCTGGGGATGTCCTAGGTGAGACTCATGAGTTCCTCCAGGTCTCAAAGCCTTTTGTCAGGCTGGTCTCTCTGCCACAGTCCCCAGCGGACAGCCCATGAGGCCACAAACTCGAAGTTGTGGTAAAGGAACATTCCTGAAAGGGTAAGAGCAATGCCCATGTAGCTGAGGGCGCTGAGGTGGCTGCCAAACAGGAGTCGGGACAAGATGAGGTTGCCTACAATGGTGAGGTTGCCCAGGACATGGACAGTGAGAGCAGAGGTGAGGGCCAGCAAGGAGAAACTGGCCAGGTTATAGACCACAGACAAGATGCAGCTGAGCAGGACACAGGTCCAGAGGCGGGAGTCAGTGGGCACAGGTGGAAGGGCCACACCAGCCTCCAGCACCAGGGTGGCACCTGCCAGCAGGCAGAAGCTGGGCATCGAGGTGGCGTACAGCAAGGTCACGGCATCCAGCCTCTCCTCCTGTAGCAGGGCACCTAAAAGGAGGACAGTAGCCATCATAACTCTGTTCAGAGACAATCCCCACTCAGCCACCCAGTACGTATCCAAGGATGCTCCTCCAGGAAACCCACACGGATCCCTCTGAGTAGGGTCAGTAGCTCTTGCTTAACACATGAGTAGGGAGTCAGGAGGTGGGCGTGGTGGTGTATGCCTGTAACCTCAGCACTTGGAGGGCTAAGGCAGGAAGATTAGAGTCGAGTTGGAATTATGTAGTAGGGCCTTGTCTCAAAACACACACACACACACACACACACACACACACACACACAAGCCAGGCATGGTGGCACACGCCTGTAATCCCAGCGCTCAGGAGGCTGAGACAGGGGGGATCACTTGGAGTTCTAGGCCAGCCTGGGCTACATAGCAAGATTCCGTCTCAATAAAACATACACACAGGGAGTCGGACCACTTAGGTTTATGACCTGCGTCCACTCCTGACCAGCTGTGAGTGACCTGGGCTCATGAGTACTTTACCTCTGATGCCTCCATAAAAAGTAAAACCTAACACGTGGGGTAACTAAAAATTTTAACAAAGATAACTTACACACAGCCTTAATAAGGTAAGTGTTCAATGAAACATTAAAAAAAAAAAAAAAAAAAAAAAAAGCCTGGCTAGCCATGATGGCACACACCTGTAATCCTAGCACTTGGGAGGCTGAGGCAGGATTGCCATGAGTTTGAGGACAGCCTGGGCTACACAGTAAGTTCAAGGCCAGCCTGAACTCCACAGTGAGACCCTGTCTCAAAAAACAGAAAACAAAAAAACCAGCCTGTTACCACCCATTTCAAACCACTTCCTACAGGGTGAAAATAGTAATCTGCTTTGGATAATCAAGTAATCAATAAACATGAAAAGTGGGGGTGGGGAGTTAAAAAGAATTAAGATGTATAATACACATATACCACATATGCACATATACCATACGTATAGTACATATATACAACTCCCATGATGAATGTAATCATTATGCACAGCAGACATGTACATAAAAATAAAAATTTTAAATAATAAACATGAAAAGTCGCTAAAAAAAGAAAGAAAATCTGGTCTAGAACTCACTAGCCCAGGCTGGCCTTGTAGTGATCCTTCTGCCGCAGCCTCAAGTGGTGGGATTATAGGCATGTGCTGCCCCAAGGGGCTCTGACCCACCTTTCTTAGCCTCACCCTTATCACACCTACCAGGATCCCACCCTGCAGGTCCAGCTACCTAGAAGAGACAGACCAGTAGAGGGTCCTAGCAACTGCCACTTACTAGGCAAATGGCCAAAAGGAAGCTAGGGGAAGGGGAGAGGGGGAGGAAGCGTGTGAGGGAGAAGGGAAGAGACAGAAGAAAGGAGGAGGAGGAACATTTTTTCTTCTCAGTCCTGGGGACTGAACTCAAGGCCTTCACACTGAGCTACACCCCCAGCTTTGTTTCTGTTTCATCTTTTGAGACTGGATCTTGCTAAATCGCCTAGGTGGGACTCAAACTTGTGATCCTACTTCGGCCTCCCGGAGTGCTGGGATTACAGGTGTGCACCACCACACCTAACTAAGAAAAGATTTTTCTTAATTAAATTCTTTTATTGGTACATTGTAGGTATACAACACAATTACATTTCTCATTGGGAATTGTAAAAAAGCATTTCTATTTTTTTTTGGTACCGCGGATCGAACTCGGTCCCTGCACTTTCGTAGCAGGCGGCGAAACCACTGAGCTAAATCCCCGGCCCAAGAAAAGATTTTTAAAATAAATTATTTGGGCCAGGTGTACTCAGGAGGCTTAGGTAGGGGGATTGCCATGAGTTCAAGGTTAGCCCGGGCGACATAGTGAGTTCAAAGCCAGCCTGAACTACAAAGCAAAACCCTGTCTCAAAAAACAAACTAGAGGCCGGGCATGGTGGCAGACGCCTGTGATCCCAGCACTCTGGAGGCTGAAGCAGGAAGATTGCAGAGCTCAAGGGCAGCCTGAACAACATAATGAGATACTGTCTCAAACAAATAAACATAAAATAAAATAAAACAGTTTGACTCCAAAAGGTGAGTCCTAAAAAAGAAAAAAAAAAAAAGGTGAGTCCATTCTTTGCTCCATTCACTTATGACCATTGGGGTGACAAGGGGACAAGAAAGTCCTTTTTGGCTCTTGGCTGTCACTCCTTGTTTATGACTGAGCATCAGCCCTGTTTGCTACTCACACTGGAGCTTGTCGAGTTAAATCCAGGACTAAGAGATAACCTTTCAGCTTTTTAAGGAAAGAGGGGATTCTGCCACTGTGAACAGGTGTGACTGCATGCATGCTTCCACTGGCCACTTTGCAAAGGAAGTGGAGCCGTGATCAGCATCAGACACAGCCCAGCTACCGTCATAGTATTCACATGAAGGCTGTGATGGTTTGGGGCCTTCTCCATATGTCAGAGGACAGAAATGAGTAATCCATATAGATCCCCACCCGGAGAGCCTCTCCATTTACTGCCACACACTTTCCAAAGAGCTGCAGAGGTGCTTAGTCACAGGCTATGCTTAGAATAGGAAACTTTAGTCCTTTCTCGATTTCGTTCTGATATTTCAGCTTTGTTCTCTAGGCAACAGGCCCTCAGGCTCAAGCTTTTCTAGAAATGAACGATAATCGGAATGCCTCCCGCTCCAAATTTAGTGCCCTTACACTGCCTATGGCCTGCACGTTTATAGTTCCAACACAGGATGGCTTTGGGTTTGCGGGTGAACTTTACCTTTGGTGAATCTCATTCTCCCAGGGAGCCCCATCTAACCTTCCCATCTAGCCTCCTGGACATCTATCCTGCATCCCATCTGACCCCTTAGCTCCCCTCCCTGCAGCCCAGAGAAAGTGCTGTGATTCCATGAGAAGTGACTCACCCCCAAAATGTCCCTGTCTGCCTCTTTAGTGACCCCTCCCTTGCCAGCCCCAAACCCTCCTGCTGGGAGCCATTCTACATAATTTTTGGGAAAAATCATTTCACAATTTAATTATGATTAGGGCTAGTCTTCTTGCCTACAGGCTGGCTCTGACATGCCAAGATATAACTCCATTTTTGCTTCCAGTCACAGCTGAGACCTCAACAATCCCAGGATGCTGTGACACTGAAGGGCAAGATTACATCAACTGAAGACATCCTGTTTCTTTGAGAATCGTAGAAAGGTTTCACTTGGGAAGGGACAAATTCTTTATCAGCTTAACTCATCCCACCTACTGTTGTAAGAATGTCTTTGCTCATCTTACCATCCTAATGAACATAAGATCCTCAGGAGCATAAGATCCTCTTGGTCCTAGGATTACCTCCACCCTCCAAGACATCTGATACTTCCTCAATTATAAGATCCTTGTCAATTTAGGATTATTGCTACCCTCAGAATCTTCTATTACTCCCTATGAACTCAATAAATAGTGGCAAGGACTGGATGCCTTTGTCTTTGGTGCCCAGAGCAGCATTGATCAAGGCCAGAACCCAGCTTCTTCTCTAAGTCTTGTTTCCTGTCTTATATCTGAATTCTTTAATTTGCCTTGTGCTGTTGTGGCTCACAGGAGACCAGGACCCACTGCAGGGGTTCTGGTGACAGCCCCTTTCCCTGTTCCCTACACCCTCCAATTTCAACTTCTGCTTCTCCAAAGCCTTTTCGCTGTTATTTAGAGACAGGGTCTTGCTTTGTAGTGCAGGCGGGCCTTGAACTCACTATGTATCCCAGGCTGGCCTCAAACTTCATGCAGTTTTCCTGCATCAGTCTCCCAAATGTTGGGATTACACACATGCACCTCCACACCAGGCTCCAAAGGAGTTTTTATTTCAGCACTGGATAACACTCCCAAGCTTTGCCACACACAGACACCAGCTGACCTTCTCTGGACCCTGGCTACTTGGTGTTGGCCTGTTCCTTCTTTCCCCCTTCCTTGGCTGTGTGATTCAGTCACCCTTTCTTTGTGTCTCATGTATAGAATAGGGAGGGGGATGACATCCCTTTCACAGGAGCTCGGTGAGGTGCTCAACAGAGTGCCTGATAGCAGGCATAATGCTTCACCATAGCCGCTGACCTGATCTCCCATGCTCTGCTCCTGCTGGCTGGTACCCTGTGCCCTGGCATAGTTTATTGCTCATTCTTTGGTGCTATGTATGAAGAATTGGGCAGTGCAGCACCTAGCAAGGGCTCAGCAAGTGCACTATCATAATTACATTATTGTCATAATCATCATTACATGCCTTTTCCCTTAGCAGCCTCCTCTGATCTCTCCAGGAAGACCCACCCCTGCCACACCTGTGTCCACTTTGGCTCCAGAACTTCTCTCCTGCCGAATGCATCTCCTCAATCAGCCCAAGCACACAGAGAACAAGAACTGAATCAGGCTGCTCTGTGACACAGGAGGGTACAGCTGAGAACAAGCTCATGAGGCTGGGACTCCATTTCTCAGCTTTTTTATGAATAGGAGGGTGGCATCACCTCTCTCATTTCACCCCCCTGGACCTGCAACTGGCCCAGGTTAGAGGCAAACTCCTGGCCCTACCCACGGGTGCCTTATTTCTTCTCTTCCTGCATTCTTATCCTCTGCTCACCTGGTGTCTGCTCTCAATAAAGGAACTGGTATCAGCCATTTACACTCTAGTCTTACTCTGGCCCTGGGTCCTAGGACAAAAGAAATCTTTTCAAAACCCATTTCAGCCCCTGGATCCAGTTCATTTCTTCCCATCTCAGCCAGACTCCCTTTGGGCTGGGGATTTAGCTCAGTGGTGCCGCCGCCTGCCTCAAAAGCACAAGGTCTGAGTTTGATTCCCCAGTACCAAAAAAAAAAAAGATAAGTCTGTACCAAAAAGAAAAAAAAATCTCCACTATTACTCTTGGGGCTGGAGATTTAGCTTAGTGGTTCTGGTGCCTGGTGCCTGCCTTACAAGTGAAAGGTCCCGAGTTCGATCCCCAGTACCAAAAAAAAAAAAAAAAAAATCTCAGCCAGACTCCCTTCACTGTTAGTGGGGCCTCCAGTTTCCTAAGCTCCCTCCTTAGAACTCTGAGCCACGCAGTATAACTAGCTTACCAACTAGGCTGTCAGAGCCATCAATAAATCCATCCTTTAAGGAGTAGCTGCCCTGTGTTAGGTCTCAAGTCAGATGCAGGAGACAGAGAGATGCCCCAAGGCCTATCTGGTGGAAAGTAGACAGGTAATCCAGGTATAACAATAATAGAGGGCATTCAGAGTCTAGCACACATATCGCCCTCCAGCCTCCCAGGTCAGGGAATTGAGACTTGGGAGGGAAAGGGCAGGGTTGCTGGCAGAAGCCAAGAAGATCCCAGGTACCCCTAGGCCTGGTTGGCCACAGTCCCTCCTGCAGATCTGGGCTGCCAGGGCCTCTGTGTGAGTTCTGAACATCAGCAGGTCCAACGTGGCCCTGGAAGTAGGGACCTTCTCAGCCTCATGTCCCTCGCCAGGAGGGCACTGTAGGATCAGGTTTCCTGGAGCCAACTCATGCCCAGAGCTCATGCCTGAGCTCAGGCTCCAGCTCATATAACCTGAGGGCAAAAATAGAACTGGGTTTTGGCCCTGCCTCCAGGCCCAGGAGGATGGGGACAAGTCCTCTGTCTCCAGGCTCTGAAGACATCAGGAAAAAGTTGAGCTCTGACTTCAACATGCCCTAGCTTCGGGCTGCCCCCAAGTCTAGCCATTAACCTTGGAGACCCCCTGCCCTTCTCTTTGTCTCAGGCCTGAGTCACAGATCTCAGAGCTGGAGAGGAGGGGGATACAAGAGTCCCCTTGGACTCCATAAACTGGCCCAGGAGGGGAGACTGAGGCCCACAGAAGGTCTAGCCCTCCCCAAGTTCACCCAGCACGTATGAGCAAAGGCATGGCTGGAACCCAGGCCTCCCCTAAGTAGGTACCCAGACTTCCCCTGGGTCTCCCTTGAGTTGAAGCAAAGAAAGGGTGGGGGCTATAAGTCAGCTAACCCTCCGTGCCACAGAAGGCAACCAGCTTCCATCCTCAGGCAGGCTGATCTAGCAGAGTCTAGCCTGGAGCTGTGGCCCTACCTGCTACTCAGAGGCCCACCGGCTCCTCTCTTTACAGCCAGAGCCCAGAATCCCATAGACTAGATAGATATCAAGTCCTTAGAAGCCATGTGATCCTGGGTCAGTCACAAATCTTTTTGGGTCTCAGTCCCATCACCTGGAAGTGGGGAATGAAGGTGGTGGCTGCTATGACAACTGAAGATCAACACTCAGCACTGGGCCTGTCACACTATAGTTCCCAGTAAACATCAGCACTTCCCAGACTCTGCCAAATCCTTGCCTTCTGAATCCCAGCTTACAACAGTCTGCTCTTTCTCTTTCCCTCCCTGGTCCATGTTTTCTGGCCTCCATCTGGGTCCAAAGCCTTATGCCACATCTCTTGAACAGCACAGACTCTTGAGTGCCTGCATTCAAACCTTTCCACTGCTGCTCACTAGCACATGGCCCAAAGCAAGCCCTTCCACCTCTCTACAAAAGGGACAATATGGTACCTACCATTAATCAACAGCTGTATTGGTAACCAAGGGGATAAAAGGGTTTACAAGGCATGGAACACAGATCATTGGCAACTATTATTAAAGAGTGGCTAGGCCTCCAGAGCCTAAGTCTGGGTCCTAAATGGAAATCACTGAGCTCTTGGCCCTCTCCGAACCTCGGTTTCCTCATCTGTAATATGGTACAACAGCCACACCCCCTCACAGGGACCTCCAAGCCAACCACCCACCTCAGCTTCCATGTCCTTAAATGGAGACCCGGATACTCACTCTGCTGAACCGACTTGAGGCCTCGGAGGCAGGTGGCCACCAGCAAGAAGCCACAGCCTGCAGGTGGTGCCCGAAGTTCTCCAGCCAGGCTGCAGGCAGCCCCCAGGCAGAGAGGGCCCATGGCAGCAAATTGCAGGGGATGGTGGCGACGGCCAAGCAGCAGTGCAGACAGGGCCAGTGTGAACAGTGGAGTGGTGGTAGTGGCCAGCTGTGCCAGGTCCAAGGGTACAGTGCTTAGGCCCACATTGCCACAGGCCATTGAGGTGCCAAAGGTGAGGCTGAGCAGCAACACTTGGCAGCGGGTGGTGTGTGGCATGGGGCGCCGTGCCCCCCAGTGGCACGCCAGTGCTGCCGCCAGCATGTGTAGCGCTGATAGCAGCAGAGGCCGCCCGAAGCCATGCACGGTGAAGATCCACTTGTTGAGGCTTGACATGCTGGCTCCTGCCAGCAGCCACACCAGCGCTGCCACAGCCACTCGGGTCCTGCCAGATTGCCTGAGGACCTGGGGGCTGCCAGGGGACCACTCGGGGGGTCCAGCCACCCGAGTACTTCCAGTCACTGCTACTGCTTCGGCTGAGGTCATCCTGCCTTCATGGTGCTCCAGAGGACAGCGGCACATCCGCACCAATAGGGCTAGAGCAGGAGGCAGGCTCCCCAGTGACCAGCTCCGAGCCACCAGAGAGGCTAGACACTGGGCCAGGCTAGACACTGTTTCTTGAACCCTGGGTCAGTCTCAGGTGAGGGCACCGATGCTCTTCCAGGCCTTGGCCGGTGGAGCTCTGGAAGCTAAGTTGATCGTGTTCTGGAGAACAGGCAGATCCGAGATCGTGGCTGCTGACTGGGAGGCCAGGAACTCTGATGTTCAAGCCTGGCCTAGGAAGCTCCGTACACCTTTCCGGGTGCCAGGCGAAGTCTCCACTCTCCTCCCTGCCCAGTGTTCACGCTATGCTCTTCGATGGAATCCTTTTTCCCTTTTCCGTCCCCAGGCCGTGACGGTGGAGATCTTGATTGCCGGACCTCCTGCGTGCTGAGGCCGTCACCAGGCCTGGTAGAGACGATGAAGGCTCCGAGCTCAGTGGTACCCAGGAGGTCGCGGCTTTCTGCCTCCGACAGTGCCGGGGAGATGCGGCTGACACGCGGGCTCCGAGCGCACTCCGACTCGTGCTAGGAGGTCCGAGCGCACTCCGACTCGTGCTAGGAGGCGAGCTCGGCTCGGCTCCCACGGGGCCTGCGATCCGGCTTGGGAACTGGCTCCAGGCTGCTTGGCGGAGGCTGCGGCTCCAGGCTCCCGCCCGGCTTAAAGCCCAGCCCCGCCAGGAGGGGCGCTCTCAGCTCCGCCTCCTGCTCCACCGCCCCACCCGTAAAATAGGGCTGAGACCCCAGCCCCGCCCCCTCCCC